GAAATTATATAAGGACTTCTCAAAAAAGGTTTTTGGACTGAAAAAAGCTTTCAGCTAGCAATTGAGTACATTAGAACGGGCAGAAACTTAACAATACTTATACTATGATGTTATACTTGCTATGAAGTACTTTGTACTATATATGCAATAAATTAAATTTGGTTAAGAAATTCAATAATTAATTTTATGCAATTATATTTGTTATCTTACCCTAATGGCATTTGGCATCTCACCCGGATACTTGGGTGAGATGCCTAAAATGCCACACAGGGAAAAAGTCGTCATTGCAAACACAATATAATTTTTTTTTTAATAAACTCCAAAGTTTTATTTGAAAAATATACTCCTGAATATGATATTTTCATCAGAGGGCTCCAAACCCAAATTAGCGCTATAATTTCCTTCATAAGCAAAATGTTAGGCATCTTCCGCTGAATCACTATACATAACTTTATTTATTTCCCCCAAACATATTTATGTAGCTAAAATTAGTTTTATCTAAAATCAAAACATGTACAGCAGTAAATTAACTAGACAAAACCCGTTTTGTCTAGTTAAAACTAGAATTTACTGCTAGTCAAAAATGAATTTGAGTTAAAACNTAACATTATAATAATGAAATACATGTAATTTCAAAGAAAATTCTTTGTTTTATACATAATTTACTGTAGTAAGTTTTACTTTTATTTTATTTTGTATTTACTGTTAGTGATTATATGTGGATATTTGATTTATATATAAATTTCTAATGCCCATTATTTTTCATTAAGTAGATCAATTTTCTGCATTAAAAGAAAATTTTACTGTAAGACCATGGATGAGATAAAATGCAAAAGAATTCATTACACTCAAAAAACATATTTAGAACACAGTCAAACCACTCCTCTCCTTAGTCAGTCATGTGCAGCCTAAAAATCTTTACACCAGTGATTCCCAGACTTTTAATCATCATAAATCCATAAAAGAAAAAAAGACAATTGTAGATGGTAAAAAATAAAAAGTCAAAATTCAAGTGAATATATATTATTATTAATTTTCTGTTGCATTAAAGTATATAATATTATTTCAAAATAACTCTTATCATCAGGATATTATTATTGGTTTTTGTCTTAAAAATAATAATATCTACAGTTTAATAGTTACTACATTGTAAGTAATAGTTTTTTACATTCAAGACTGATTGTAATGCTCTTTCTATGGGAAAATTTCTGAAAATGGAAGCGGATAAAACCAAACAGTTTTTTTGCTATATTCCTATTTAATTCTATTAACATATGGTTCAGAATTTTGAAAATCAAATTCTTTAATTTTCTACTATTTTTAAAGAGGTTACAAAATAACCTGAAAGTTGGATCATCAAGCAATTCAAAAAAAAGTTTGAAGAGCCTACTTGTTTCTATGTTTTGTTTTTATTTACTATCACTGTCAAAAATCCATACGTTATAGGTGCAATATAGTAAATGTTTTATCTAAAAATGTAGTTATTAATGAAATTTTTCCATAGCAAGTGTAATCGTGAACTGTTCTTTGGAAAGCATTACTCTACACAATGTTTTTATTTTGTAAATTTGATTTTTGGTCTTATACTTTTAATAAAACCACTATCAGTTTCAATTTATTATCATCATCATCTTACATTATGAAAGATATCCATGTGCTATTAGTGCATTCATTCAACTTCAAAATATTCTATGCATTACTCAGTTATAAAAAATATATATATTGAGTTAATAAATTATCTATACAATAGTTACATAAAAAATGATTTTTTTTTAAAGTTCAAATATCTAAAAATATAATCTCTTAATATATCAAATAATCTAATAATTTGAAATTCTTCTATTGTTAGGAACAAATTATGCATAACAGATATCTATAAAGTGAGGGATGAATCTTACTTTATATATGTTGCAGTCAAAACCCATTTTTAGTTAAAACTAGTTCATAATGGATGTCTTTGATAAAACCCGTTTTGTCTAGTTAAAACTAGTTTTAACCCAAATTCATTTTTGACTAACAGTAAATTCTAGTTTTAACTACACAAAACGGGTTTTATCAAAAACATCCAGTATAAACTAGTTTTAACTAGTTAAAACGCATCCTAACTAAAAACTGGTTTTGACTGTAACAGATAGAGTGATTCGGGGTAAGATGGTAAGCAGGGAAAGATGCCTAATTTTTGATATTTTCAAACGATGGCGTCACATATTGTCATGTATTTGTATGATGAATCGTTAGGCCAATATTGAGTGTGGAAAGCTGTAGTTGGCTACCGTTACTTCATTTTCTGCATCTGAGAAGAATAAAAGCTAGATAAGAACAAAGCTTTTGTTGTGAAATGTTTCTAAAGTAATTTTAAACTAAAACTTAAAATAGAATTTATTAAAAATTGCAAAAAACAATTAATGTATGATGTAGTTAAAGTTCTAAAGTTTCCATTGTCAACTACCGCCGATCCTGATTGGACATGCTGGAGCACGTGACTCTACTAGGCATCTTACCCCAACAAAGTCCTAAAAGATGCCATATTTTTCTTGGGGTAACTTGTCTATTTTTTGTTAATTGAATTCCAATATGCCTATTTTTAATAAATTTTTGTTTTCTCGTTTTATTGCAGGATATGCATAGAAATTATATAAAGACTTCTCAAAAAAGTTTTTGGACTGAAAAAAGCTTTCAGCTAGCTATAGAGCACATTAGAACAGGCAGAAACTTAACAATACTTATACTATGCTGTTATACTTGCTATGAAGTACTTTGTACTACATATGCAATAAATTAAATTTGGTTAAGAAATTCAAAAATTAATTTTATGCAATTATATTTGTTATCTTACCCTAATGGCATTTGGCATCTCACCCGGATACTTGGGGTGAGATGCTTAAAATGCCAGACAGTGAAAAAGTCGTCATTGCAAACACAGTATAGAATTTTTTAAAATNATATTTGTAAAATAAAAAAAAACTGAAAATAGAATGTTGGTAATGTTATAAATGAAACTTATACAAATAAACAAAATACTGTATTTATAGTAAATTTTATTGTTTAGGAATAACAATACAATGGAACCTAGTTAACTCAAAGTAGCATTTACTTGAAGTCGTTTTCTTTCCCTGTTCATCTAGCATAGGGGTTTAAATGTTAAATCAAATTGGTTAATTTGAATTCATTGAACTGTTTAATTCAAATGGGGTTTTGATACAGTATTTTCATAAACCCTCCAGAATTTTAATTTAAATAAAATAATTAACATTCATTTGTTAAATAAACTAATCAGAAACTTTCTATAAAGTGTGGGAACAACATATGACTAAAAATAACATTATGTCATGTAATGGTAGGCAAGGAGTGGTGTTTCAGTTGTTATATTACATATCAGCTATCAGTTCTCCCACAAGGTTTAGCAACTTTTTTTGTTTTATTTGATTGCTAATGGATTTCTCTGACTAGCTGACATAATAAATACATGAATTTTTGATAAATTACTTTAAAAAAAAGATTATAATCCAATTATGTGTAAAAACTTTAACCTTTGAAGCAAAATATTAAAAATATAACAATTATAAAGAGTATTATGTTTATGATAAATAAAAAACAGATCAATTCGGCACAATTCTAGGCATGAAATATCATAATTTAAAAAATCCTTTACTAAACACTTAGGAGAAAACAGATCAACCCTTCAGGAAAGCATTTCTCAGTAGCTTATTTAACCATTCGGTTAAGTGTTTTCAAGTTTCTGGGCAACATTGGACTTATTACTTACACTGACGATTCTAAGTAATAAGATACAAGAAAATATCATATGGCTAATTTATTATGATTCACTGATAAACCAATGCATAAAATCTTGATTGTTAGCTGAACCTCCATAACTTGAAACTTTTTAACTCAAAGTCCAAATTTTTTTTCCCAGACAGATTCAAGTTAACTAGATTCCACTGCATATTGTAATGCTCTGTTATGCAGAAATATTACAAAATAATTGAGCTTGCTGGTAATTTTCTAATCTAAAATACCCTAATTCAAATTTGATTTAGGTTAAAATATATTAAATTTTTAATCATAAATTAATTAGTCAGTCATTATTAAAAATAAATTTTAAGAGAGAATGAATTATATTGTTAATTATCGATAATTCTCGATGGTTGGTATCAAGTATAGGGTAATAAAATAGTTATATAGTAGAGCATCGATTATCTGACTCAATTGGGGACAGGTTGGTTGGATAACTGAAAAAATCGGATAACCAAAAATAATGAAAAAAATACATTATTAGTATAGTATATTAGGATATCCCATGTAATTAGTATATTGCTATTAACCAACTTCGTGTTGAATTTTCATCGATGTTTAGCCTAACAAATTTTTTTAAAATAATAATCGTTGCTATTGTATTGTTAAAAATTATTTTAAAATTATTTTATTGCTCACAAAACAAACAAGCATTCATAATTAGAAAATTAAGTCTTGTTTAAATGCTGGTCTCCCTTCAATGGTCGAGCCAATGTTGCCAGCTAAAACATGCAAAAATTTAACAAAAATAATATTAAAGTATCCAAGACATAGCCAAATATTGTAGTGCCACATCACTAGCGGACATTTGAAATTTTCCGACTAAAACGGTCGGTTAACTGATGTGACGGTTAATTGAGGGTCGGATAATCGATGCTCTACTGTATATGTATGTATGTATGTATGTATGTATGTATGTATGTATGTATGTATGTAAAAGTAGGCATTGCATGTATATATGTATTTATTAGATAAACAAACACAAAAAACATTTAATTTATATTCTGTCACTGTTCAAAAATGTACTCATCAATATTTTTTAATTAGTAAGTAATCATAATGGTTTAAATGCAATTAATCAATAATTTATACATTCATATTGCATATATTTAACAATATTAAAAAAAAATTATTTTTGTGAAAATTTTAATTTTATCTTTTTACAAATAACTTGTTAAAAAAAATAATGTTAAAAGAAAACTTACATCTGTAACTGCTGCTGGACTTATGGTTCCTTCATAGGGACATCCTACAACACAGGAAACATATCTGCCAAGTATACAATATATATATAATTAAGGAATGTAAAAAACTTAATGAATACTTAATAAACTTAAAACAATGAATTTACCCTCTGACTTTTATTCCAGCAGAAATAGCAGCATTTACAACTTCCTTGAATCGTTGCAAACTTTCCGCAATTGTGCAATTTATGTTTTTTCTATAACATAAAAACATAACATTAAGTAAATATAAAACTCTAAATATTTAACTATGAAAATAATAATAACTACTTGCTAAAAGATTCAGAAGCAGCTCCAAAAATAGCTATTTCTTTAACTTGAGAAAGATCCTGTGCATAATTTATTTTAAGATATAATAATGCTTTAAATCATTATAAATCAAAACAAAAAATATAAAATACTTAAAATATTACCACAGCTTGGAATCCTTTGAGGTTAGGTACAAGAACAGGATAACTAATATCTGGATACCTAGTGATCTGCTGAGATACTTCTTTATGATCTGCCATCTAGATTAAGAGTGAAAATATATTGAAAAATCCATATTTTCAGAACTGCATATATAAGATTTCTTTTTGTCTTAAATAAAATTTAAAAACTAAAAAATCATACTAATTGTAGATTAATGATATAACTATAAGGCATTTAATTACTTGAGGAACCCATTTTGGAGAAACAAAGCCATCTAGATTAAGAGTGAAAATATATTGAAAAATCCATATTTTCAGAACTGCATATATAAGATTTCTTTTCGTCTTAAATAAAATTTAAAAACTAAAAAATCATAATAATTGTAGATTAATGATATAACTATTAAGCATTTAATTACTTGAGGAACCCATTTTGGAGAAACAAAGCTAGTTATTTCTATCGTTTTAAGTCCTGTTTCCGATAATTTATTGATAAATTCCACCTTTGTAGAAGTTGGCACAATTTCCTTTTGTAAAAGCAAAAAAACAAATGTAAAATAAAAAGTTTTCAAACATTAAATATTTTAGTGTATTTTAATTAGTTACATCATCATACTTTTTCGTTCTGTAAACCATCCCGTGGACCTACTTCAACAACTTTTACAAATTCTGGCAGTTTTTCAGTTATCTAAAAGTATTCAATTTGTTAAATCATAATACATATTTATTATTTTAAAAATAAATTATTTATTAATTTGATTATTCAATAACTTGAATAATCAAATTAAATTACAAATTCATAAATATTTTGTAAGTACAGTAAAAATTACATACATTCATTTTGGAAGAAGCTGTACCATTTTAAATTGCTGTAATTAGGTTAATTATTATCTGAGAAGTACAACAATCGATCAAGTAACTGTCCAAGTCTCACCCTCTGTCTGCATTCAAATATTTCATCTATTAAGAATCTCTGTAAATGAAAATGAGAGAAGGTGATTTGTGTTCTGCTGTTTGAAAAGTAAGAATACATCATCATTGTACAACATGAGTAATCTGCAGGAGCTGTAGAATTGTGGCTGCTGTGAAAGAAGTGATAATGGATATGTTGTAGTGAGTGTAGGAAGAATTTGAGTATCATTGAATGTGATGAAGTGCATACATTGAAAAATTGCAGTGGTCAAACATGAATCTTGGACAGTTTTCCAATGTTTTAACATATATTACAATATTCTCAGGTATAATTAACATAATTACAATAACCTAAAATAATAGCATTCTTTTTGGAAGACTCTGTATATAAATTTATTTTTCAACATTAATCTAAATCTTAAATCAATAACTGTAATGAACATTATAAACATATTCTATGCCTGAAAATATCCAAGATTATAAGTACAGTACAACAGACATAGATCCTCAATGCTTTTGCAACCTAATTGATTTCTAAGAAACCATCATTAAGTGAGTCATAAATTAAACTCCCTAAATCCAAAAATAATTTGAACTACTTAATATCATACCAAGATACTAATTATAACATAACATTTCATAAATCATAATAGAAAGTAATTGTTCACCATAATAGAAAAATTATGCCAATTATAAAATATAGGTCTATTATATAAATAAACTTAAATTTTTAACAATAAAATGAGTATATTTATTTATATGTTACAATTTAATTATATCATTTTTGAAGTAGGCTGTACTAAATAAAGTATACTTCAAAAATGATATAATTCATTTGTATTACAATTGCTATAAATTCAATTACCGCTTGTAACATTTTTATGTCAAATGAAAAAAACTACATATAATTCATCTTGACATAAATGAAACAATCATTCAAAATTTACTAAAATATGATATAACTGATTCCATTCTTAATTAGATGTATCAGAAATTTATTAAAGTTTTGTTATCAATGTTTACTTATAAAAATGCTAAGATAATTAATTAATAGTAATAAAAACTACCAATCAATTATTTGTATTAATATATAAAAAGAAAACAACAGAAAAATATTCAGACATAGCAAACATCATAATTCATTTTCTTTTCTTTTCCATTCTAATTATTAAAATTATATTTTGGTATTAACTTCCTTGTTAGTAATAAGGAAGTTAATACCAGGGAAACTTCGTAGGTAAGAGTTTTCCTTCCAAGATGTAACAGTCCTATTGTTTCCCAAGATATAACTTATTTATTGTTAAATTAACTACAAATAGATGTATATTTCTGATATTTTTGTTCCAGTTTAGTCTGTACAAGTTGACACAATTACCAAAAAAATCACATAAATGTATCGTCAAATAAAGATAAGTTTAAAAGAAACAATCATAAAATAAATCATAACTTTAAACATAAATCTGCAAAATTGTAAAACTGTTGTGTACATCCTCTGAAAGAATTTTAAAATTATTAGTAGTTAGTAGGAAATATATTTTATTCTGCCATAACCACTAGACACTTTTCGTTTGCTCCCCCTAGTGATTGAAATACAATTATATTTAATTACAACACAAAATTATTTTTTCATAATAGTAGGATAAACAACAAAAACCATATATTTCAAGACAGTTCGTATCTTACGGACCATCCATTAATTATATGTACAATTTTTTAACCACTTTTGACTTCTTTCTGGCACTCTCTCTCTCCTTTATATGTACCATACAATAGTTCATAGATTCCCTGACATTGAAGCAATGACTTACAAAATNATTGAAAAGCATTTTTTTTTAATTGAAATAACAAAGTGTCTATATTTTCTTTGAAAAACTACAAGTTTTGGTAGTTTAACATTTTTTCGTATAAAATTCTAACAAAATTACAAATTCTTTGGTTAATCAACATAACTATAGTATCTTTCAATTATAAAAATAGAAAAAAAACTAAAAGTTCTTATGAGATCAATTTGCACAGCACCAACATTACACCTACAAATCAAAACAATCTCCACACATAAAAATCATATGCTTCATACATATTGGCTTCTCACACTTCGAACAGCAATGTTTTGTTTTTCTATCTGTTTTTTTAGTACAGTCACCACACCTGACATATTTACTACCCACTTTTTTGGAAACAGATAATGAAGGTTCTCCCAGATGATCAGTAATCACTTTCGAGTTTCCCTTGGATAATGCATGTTTTGTTGTCTAATGCAAAGATCATCATCTGAGAAATCTAGAAATAAATCTAAAAATACTATAAATAATTATAACTCATAAACTTACTGTCAACTCAAAAATGTAACACCGACTATAAGGTCGGGTGTGACGTACCCCAGTCACCTTTGCTCATGTGTATCTCCCGCTGACGCAGGCGCAACACTAAACTCAACACTGCACCTCGTCTCCTACTCCCTTATCTCCAGCTACTGTGACGACGGGATTTCCATGACAAAAACAACATTAAATAATCTGCATTTAAAATCTTCTCGGGTATGACATACCCCGCCTCACTCACGCCGGGTTAATTACATGTACAATTTTTGAACCACTTTTGACTTCCTTCTGGCACTCTCTCTCCCCTTTATGTGTACCATACAATAGTTCATAGATTCCCTGGTATTGAAGTAATGACTTACAAAATATTTGCAGAATTTATTTAACTGATAGTTTATTCACATGACTAGTAAAAAGGCTTATATGAGCAAATTTCTATGCCACTAACATTAGTAAAAAAAATCTACATAGTTAACATGCAATTACTTACTGTAACCAAAATACACAACAACCTACAAATAACCAATAACCAGTGTGAAATTCTTCAAAAAATCAGCAAACGTTTTCAATGCCCCTCCTGGGCTTGTCTTCAGGCTTATTGAAATAGCTCATGGATTCCTTCCACTTTCAAAATTTTTTTTAGAAAAATGGCACGTTTCAAATTTTTAAAAAACATTTGAATTAAAGAATCCAGTTACAACGAAAAATATAAAAATAAGCCTGAAGACGAGTCCAGGAGGGGCATCAAAAACGTTTGCCGATGTTTTGAAGAATTTCACGCCAGTTATTGGTTATTTGTAGGTTGTTGCGCATTTTGAATATATACAACCTGGTGTAATGAGAAAGTTCATTAACTTATTGTAACATCATCACAATGCTGGGCTGCAATTTTTAATCATATTTTTAATTTATTTGATTTAAAATATATTCTCTCCACATCAAATTAGTAGTGTTTTGCACCTGTACATCATACTTTTCCTGTTAGCAATAGAATCATGCTGGTCATCTATCTAACTCCTTTCAGAGGAAAATTTTTAAACTGAATTAACATTTATAACAATTAACTATATATATAGTTAATCAGGGCCTCCTGCCCCTAAGCTTTCCATATCTGGTCTCAACTTTCATCTAGCTCCGTTCTCAGGATTAAGGAAGGAAGGACAGACAAACAGTGGGAATTTACAGGTCTATAATTTTTTGAATTGCAGCCCAATGTCTTGATTTTTCCTCATCATGTAGAATGATGTACTTTTCACAATCCTCTTCCTCCCTTAAACAGTACAGTACTGTACAGTACGTGTAATTCATAAATGGCCCCTTATTTACAACAGAAAAAAAAAATGCTGTAGATATAACATAATAAAGAAATACAATTGTATACATCAAATAATATTTAAAACAAATTAATTATATTTGATATACCACAGTATTAAATAAATCCAAAGAAAAATCATTTTAGGGTATTATTTACTAATTATACTAATAAAGAAATTGCAATTATTTGCATATTTTTGTTATGATTGTTCTTTGTAACAAATGTGTTTGAAAATAAAAATTCTAAATTTTATTTGAATTTGTATAAACAAGATTATTATTTAATTAATGATTATATTTTAAAAAATATGTTTTAAATCTATAATTTTATAGTAAATATTTATAACAAAATAAACCCATAAATGATTCTGCTTTGAGTAACACATCATATAGCATAATATGCAAAACAATTTCCAATATCTATCTATTTAATAACATTCTTGAAAATTTTTTCCATACATATATATTAATTATATTGAAATAACAAAATATGATAAAGAACAGTTCAACCATAAGCTGTTTTCAAAGATCCCAATGCAAAATGTAGTAGTAATTTTATTAATAATAATTTTAGATGAAAACATATATAAGAGGATTCTCAAATTGTAAGTGTTTAGAATATGCAGTTTCAAAATAACATGAGAGAGAAATCAGTATACATTATTCAAAATTATGCATATAGTCTAGATGGGTTCTTTGGCTGTTAATGATAACACATCGTTCAGTTAATACCAACTACTTAAAAATTTGTTGCAATGAACATCTTAAAGAATAGTTAAATTTTTTAACTACTAGTATTGATTTGGAAGGAATTCATGTGGCCACTGATGAGTCAACATTAAATATTTCTTAACCAAGTTTTATTTTAATTCACAGTGAAATTTCTATTTGTAAACAAACTTTTAACCCATGTAATACAAAGATTAACTATATTTTTAAAGCAAAGTTAGTATATTAGTGAAAATAGTACTATAATATAAACTGTAGATATCTTATGTACCAACAACTACAAAATCAATTTCTGGTCTGGATAAATGAAAAATGATTTCTGCACAAACGTTTTCTAACTCCTTCCGAGTTCTTCAGATGCAACAAAATGGTTATCTGATGGATCACCCTTAGGCTTGTTCCAAAGGACTGCAAATGCCAAATCCAATGTTGACAATGTTGCTGAAAATATGAATTGACCATCTGTTCTTGCAGAAAATGCTGTATTATCTCTTTTTCCACTGTGTCAACTATAATTTTAGTTGCAATATGGTGAAAAACAAACTAGGTTTGAAATTATACTGTTCTGATGCAGTTGACTTCTCATGGAAAATACCAGGTCAGCTACATATGTAACCCAACTACTATTTTGGTCAATTATTTTAATTAAAAGTGTAAACTAGTTTCTTCTAAATATGATTATTTACAGAGATGAAACTGGATTGGGTGACTAAATCATTGAAATATTATTCAGGGTTTGTCCAATAAATATCAAGACTGATTTTTTCCTACCAATGGGAAGGGGTGGAGGCAGTCTCTATGGGTAGAACCAGTGGGGGGTGTCATGTAAGCTACAAGACCTGGCTCAATTGTCCCTGAGCCTTTGGAGTGGGTAGATCCTGCCTGAAGTGAAAGTGTGTTTAGGGCTTTCATTGAGAATTAAGATGCCATCGAGAAGAGTTTTGCCATCAAATTTTGCATTAAATTGAACAAATTTGCTATGGAAACTTTTGATTAGGGTCTGCTGCATTCGAGGGGAAATCACAGATACCTGGATGCTCTATCATGACAATGCACCCAGTCACACATGCAATTATAAAAGAGACATCAGCCAAACACAATGTGCCAATGCAGCTCCAACCACCCTGCAGTGCAGATTTGACTCCTCCGACTTCTTTTTATTCCCTTGGATCAAAAGGAGCCTGGAAGGACATCATTTCAGGACAATTGAGCACGAACAACCTTGCAGTTGCTGACTTCCAGGGGCATATGAAGACTGAAAAAAGCATTGACAGCAGTGTATTGATGCAGGATGGTCATATCTTAAAGATATTAACTCACTGTACATATATCGCCGATAAATTTTTTTTACGACTTCATTCCCAATATTTATTGGACAAATCCTGTAACTTCATGGGGTCCAGTCAAATCTGAATTATGGGGCCCTAGGTATAGCCCACATTTTTCTTCAGGGAATATTTTGGGAAAAATATTTTCTTATAAAAGATTGGTTTGAGACCCTTTGTTTGTAGGAGAGCCCCCAGGCAATTGCACTTTTTGCTCACGGTATAACATGCCACTGGTACAAATGTACCTCTCTCAATATTACAAGGGTTAAACACAGAACTAGTGAACTAAAATTAAATGAAGAGAATTGTTAGACTTAGTTTATTTAAATTAATTCTTCATTTTCAACTATTCATTTTCTCTTCCTTCTCCTCAGTTTATAGCTTGTTTTCTCCATCATCTTATGTTTCAATGAATTAATAAACGATTTTCTAAAAAGAAATTATCTATTTTTAAATTTTATCTTATTCAAACTGCTTTTATTATCCATGTTAAAATGTTATATATGGAAACTATTAGTTTAGCACATCCCACCATTTATATCTAATAGTGGTTACCAACCCAATGGACCATTTATGGTCCACAGAAAAATTTTGGCGGTTTATGGAGACATTTGGACATTGATTAATTCAAGGTTACATATAGTATTACAAAAGAAATGCAAAATACTTGATTGCTTTTTCTCACTCATTGAAGATTTTTTATTTGAATCTTAAACCAAACACGAAATGACTTTTATCAATAAATAATAATGTCAATAATTGATCAAATAATCTACAATAAATAATATGAGTGCAATTGTTGTCCTTTGTGGAAAAGGGCAAAGAATCCATAAACATATTTTAATAAGTTCAATAATATTAAGTTATTCTAATGATTTCAAAAGTAAACCTTTGAAATTACTGACTTCAAAACACTAATAATAAACTTGAAAAAAAATTGAAATTCAGTAGAAAAGATTATAAATAAAGAATAATGACAATTTTTATATATCAAAATAATAAAATAAACAAAGCATACATTATAAAAATTTTTTAAATTAAATCACAATAATTAATAATTATTTATTACTATTGATTGGATATCTATTGCTATTGCTTCGTGTAAATCATAAAAATTAACAGATGATATAAGGTATTATACACAAGTTTATAGAAATTATTTTATGAATGATGGTCCTAATGAAGATTGATTAAAATTAAATAAAAATAAAAAGAATAAATAAAACTATGTATCTTCTTCATCTGAACAAAAAGTATCTCCAACTGTGGCATTAAAAAATTGTTTTTATATTCCAATTATTTAAAGAATATTAGAATAAAAATAAATAAAAATTAATATAATGTAATTAAATGTTTATTTTATTGATATATAAATGCAAATAATAAGGGAATATTAGAAATGAGAGAAATATTTCTCTCATTTCTAATATTCCCTTATTATTTGCATTTATATATCAATAAAATAAACATTTAATTACATTATATTAATTTTTATTTATTTTTATTCTAATATTCTTTAAATAATTGGAATATAAAAACAATTTTTTAATGCCACAGTTGGAGATACTTTTTGTTCAGATGAAGAAGATACATAGTTTTATTTATTCTTTTTATTTTTATTTAATTTTAATCAATCTTCATTAGGACCATCATTCATAAAATAATTTCTATAAACTTGTGTATAATACCTTATATCATCTGTTAATTTTTATGATTTACACGAAGCAATAGNTGTGTTAATTTGACATCAAATTTGCATACAATTAGTCTTTAAAAAAGTCTAGAAAAATTATCACATTTTTTTTTCAGTTAATAAATTATTGCTTAATTGACAATATAATATGATGTGATATAGTATATGATGTAATGATAATGTTGATTACAATGGCATACTTATATATAATAATACAGATTTTATTAAAACAATTACAGTTTTGGGATATTATTTCTTATGTATGTAAAACATGTGTTTGACATATATTATGTAATTGTTAACAAAGAAAAATGAAAGTTAAGTAATCAAATTTAACGTAAACTATATCAGATATAATAGAAATGTAAATGTATTAATGCAAAAACAATTGTCAATATCAATATACTTTACTATAAAAAGTGAAATTATTAATACAAACAAATCTATTATATCTGAAATACTAATTAGTATGTTATACTTTAAGTTCAGAATTCTACTTGCTGCAATGATAAGAATGTATTAGTCAAAACTGGAAACATTTATCACCTTACAAGATGCACTTTTTTGTACCAATAATTTATCTAAAAATTAGGATACATCTTACAATGGAAAAAATAGTTTTCCTCCAAAAATTAGACTTGAAAAATGTGTTGCATCCAATACAACAGTGCATCTTATAAGATAAAATGTACGGTAATTGAAAACAAAGGAACATAAGTAGCTCTTAAAATTTCCTTTTTCTTTAGTTTTATTTGAATATTCTATTATTTCTTTTTATACAGTTATGAAAGCCTTGCACATACAAATGAGAATTAGTATAACTAAATTTTGCATTCATTTTTCTATGAAATAAAATTTTTATCAGAATAAATAAGTCACAATTTTCATAAAATGCCATATATTTAATGCTAATAAAATAGAATATATAAAAATAACTTTAGAATTGTTTTAATTTAAAATAATTCTAAAGCTTCTTTTATATTAAGTACATTCTGTATAAAGTATATGTATATGGTGTGTGTTTGTTTTTTTAGTTCAAGAAAAAAAATTACTACTTGTTAAAACTAAACTTGGATAATTTAAAATTTAAGCTTACCATACAACTACTCCAAAAGCCATTCATTCCTGGAAGAAATTAAAATTTCCTCCTAGTTTATTTGTTCAATTTTCCTTTTACTCTCTTTATGAGTTTTTAAAATAACTTTTTATAATGACAATAAAAGTTTTTTTCTTTTCTATTGACGCATGATTTCTAATAGGAAAGAAGCTATTAAAATTATGTAACTAGGACGTTTTCAGAGTGCTGTTTTGCTATTTGAAAGTAAAAGTAATGTTGAAATAACGACACACATACCAAACTAAGATAGCCTTTCAAAAAAAATATTATAAACAAAAACATTATTAATCATAATACTGATATGTTCATTAATAATTAGGTTAAGAATATAATTGCAATTCCTATAACTTTTAATTTTTTTTAAATTTCATTTTTATGCAAATTAGTTGAATTATTTTGAATTGATCAATATATTTTCTTTATTTACAAATGTAAGAATGTTAGTAACATATAGAGCTATTAACAAAGAAATTAAAACCTATAAATTATTTAAATTAAGGTAACTTATTTTAACTAATTTAAAATGTGTTAAATACATCATATTAAATCTTACTAAAAATTAATATTACTTTCTGATCAATTTGTCACTAAAAATAAATAATAAATTAATCAAGTTATTAAAACTAATCTAATCAAATTGATCTAATATACAGGGTGATTGTATTTAAAACAGAGTATTTAGTATAGATTGTAATTAGAAATTAAAAAATACTGTTGTAGAAAGTACTCTGTAGAAAAAAGTATAGAAAAATTTAAACCAAATTTGATATAAATACTCTCCTGAGTATTCAGTTTTTGTTTTAGGGAAAATTTTACTTCAAATTCAGCCACTAGGATAAAATTTGGTACTGCTGTAATATGCATATTATGTACACTTTCTAACAAATTTTGGAAGTTAAGAAACAAAGTACAAAAATTTTATTTCATTTACAGATGTAAAGTATGAAACTGATGATTAAGAGTTTAACAAATACTGTAATGAAAGATCAGACAAAATGAGCACCACAACTGTTCATCTGTCAAAAAAATTGTGAAGAATCTGTTTTGTGATGCCTTTTATATTCAAAATTCATTATAAAACATACTTAATATGTGTATTACTGAAACATAAGCATCAAATTTTGCTCTAGCAGCTGAATCTTAAAGCAAAAATTTTTATTAAAATTTATCACAGAATAGCAATAGTTTTGATAATAATTACGTTATTAGGAACGAGAAAGAAATTTAAAAACAACGCATATACGAGTATTTAATTGTGAAAGTCATTTTGATCTCTCTGTAACTTTACTCATTAATAAATGTATCAAATTTGAGATTTAACTTTCCAAATTGTACAGATGAAAGATGATAACATGATATTTGCAACAGCTAGAATAATTAATTTATAATTTTCAAGATGATTCAATGGTGTTCTCTTTATTTAATTAGACATTCTTAATTTCTTAATTTTTCAAAATATAAAATATTTAAATCTTAAACATGATTAACGAGTTAAACATTTTATTGTCATGATAATCAGACAAATTATAGTCATTGATAAGGAACTTAATGTATGAATATTGTATTGATACCTTAAGTATTGATTGAATATCTCAGGTAACCTCTAAATAAATTAGAATTATTTGGAAGTCATCTAAGATGAATCATTAACGAATACAGTAAAACCTGGCTAAACCGGAAAACATATTCGGTATCGTATAAAGCCGGTTTACGCAGATTTCAACATATAATAATTTTTAAGAAATTTCAAAAAGAAGAGATCAAATATGTAAGTGATGATCAGTTGTTGGGATATTTAATAACGATATTCATGCATTAATAAGTTAATGTTCGACATTGGTATCGTAACGTATTTGGAGGTTATGTAAGAAAAATCCTTAAAGAATATAACAATATTTAAGAAATAATAATAGAAGAAATTTCATTTTTAAAGGAGTATGAAGCGCCTGAATAAATTTTGTTAAAATTTAGGAAAAGTAAATGGTGTAAGCTATCTGAAAACACAGAAGTATCTCCAAGCTTTTCTCCGATTAATCATCATAAAATAATGTACATGAGTGATGAACAGCTGTTCATTAATTTTGCAATAAAATATTCAACATATTCGTTTGCCATTATTCCTGAGAAATTTGATTGATATCATCCACGTTTATCATGTATTATTTAATTTGATTTTCCTAATATACCTCAATATTATTATATTTATAAACGTTACATCTCGAATATGAAAACAGATCTTTATATCATAATTCATATAAGCTTTAGTTTAATTTAGAAATTATTTTAACTTTTGTTCAATAAGTTATATGCTATTATTTATCAATATAACACAGTGATCCAGAATATAAAATGTAAATAGGCNTTAGTATTTCATGCATTTTCATTATACACTATTGTTGGAGAAAATTGCAATGCCAAGAAAAACATGAGCTATTCAAACAAAATTTATTCTACAGATTACTTATATCACAAAAAATAACTGATTAAACTTAGAGCTTATAAAGCCATACTAGCACAAAATTCAGTATCTCATAAAGCCATTACATGCAGAGATAACAATCTCTATATACTGAAGCACTGAATGAAAGCAGTAATGAAACTAAGATGTTTGTTCCAGTATAGAACATTGTTTTAATTGGGTGGGTGTTATCAAATGGTTCTTTCTAAAATTTAACAATTGATTTTTAGTGATATATAAGCAGAAAAAAGTTAAATGAGAATATGTAACTACTGGACAAACATTAATTAATATTTAAACAATTCTCCAATAATGATCAATATAGGTAGATTTGAAATTATTTCAGGGTGGGTGAACTGGTCAGTGAATGGATGAGCAAAAGTTTAAGATGAGCTGATGTTCATTCTTGTCCAGCAATAGTACAACCTGTGAATGAGAGAGATCCTGAATTTGTTATTGGAGAGTGTAAGGCTGCTTCTATACATCCCATAACACCTCTATAGTGACTGGTGGAGAGATCTGATATGTTAATGTCTGGGATATAGTATCATCATTATGCTACCATATCCCAGATATCTTCAATCAAGGAAAAGTCTGGCAAAGTGCAGGTCAGGGAAGATGCCATGTCCTTCCTTAATGAGTTACAGAAGACCTGTCACTCATCTTCAAACAAATTTATTGTTAAAATTTAGCAATTGATTTTCAGAGACTCTAAGTTTTGGACATTCTGGCTATAGTGAAAGAGAGCATCAGGAATTATATAGAGAAAATGAATCACTTTTGCCACTAAAACATCCTTTATATAGTGCTGGCTGTTCAGGATGCTAGAAATGTGTACGAGACAAGATTGTAAACAATCCAAACATGACAATCCATGCAAACCTCCAGATGCAATTCACCATGATGTTTCCAAACAAAAGTGCAGTTTTCATGGTGATTAGGTTGAATTGTGATTCATCAGAAAATCTGTATCTAATCAGTTCATCATCTACATTCCAAGCACCATTGAATATAGGTCTCATTTGTCCATTGATGCCATGTTTACATCAATGTATTGGTATTTTGCCCAAATGAACAGCAATTTGATGATAAGGTAGACTTTTTTCTATCTCATCTCAATAATTCTGTCTGGTTCAAAGTGAATAAGGTATTCATAATGAGAACTTCAGTAAGAGAGAGTGGTGAGCCATTGGAAATATCATAACAACTGAGTTCCGGTCAATTACTGATTAAAACATTCCCATTGTGTCCTCCACTTATACCCAATACAATAAAGTTTATAGAGCACTGTTCCAAATTGCATTTGCATGTCCGACTGTGATATACTCATCTTGCAAACTGCAGGCCATTCTGATCTCTTTGAAGATGTTGCAATTTTCATAAAAAACAGTATAATATAGTATGAATAAATTGTAAAGATATTATATGATGTTAATTATCAAATTTTAAATGAACTATTTCAAAATTATTTAAATTGTAAAAAAAAACATTGTAATAAATTGAGGACAACAATTATATTTATTTGAATTAAATAATTTTTACTCTCTTTTATACTTTCTGCATAAGACAATTTTTAAAATGTGAGATTAAAAAATAAACAAAAGAATTAAGATATTTCTGTACTTTCTTAATTTTAAGCACACTTAATACAATTATAATTTTTAAAGAATTGTAATGAAAATTGCAGGTTGCAAGAAGATATAAAGTTCAAATGAGTCCAATAGAGATTATCTTCTAATAGGCTATTTGTTTCCTTTTAAAATCAGATCAATTTTTCCAAAAATTTAAACTGAATCATAAGAAGAATATGTCAAACAGTCTGGAAATGATCCACGATTGAAGATTACTTAGAAAAAACATTGTCTTACAGTTATTCCCATAATATCCCTTCTGTTTTATTAAAAACACATCAGCCTTGCTTTTTCAACAAAACCCAAATATAGTACTGTATTTAACAGTAATAGGAAAATATACTGTATTCAATTGGAAATGGAGAGCTTTTATCTCTAATGCTTTGAACCAGTTGTCAACAGTCATCAAATTCTAATCTGGGATTTAAGTACGCTTATAGAATTAAATACAGTAATATATTAAAAAAATAAAAAAAATACAAACTGTTTCAGTTAATCTAAATTATGGTTAAGTATAGTTCAAGTAATTGAGATTCTATTGTATATTATTGTTTTAAATTTGTACTTCAATACACAAGGGTCATTTCAAAAATTTTTGTATGGTTGCATTAAGAGTGGAAAATAAAAACTAGTTTTTTTATGATGGAAAGCATAAATGTCCTTTATCCAATGTACTGTACTTGCTACTGATGTCAATACATTTTTTGTCAATGGTTAATTGCATTCTTACAGTGTGCATCTTGTTCAGATAGTATAGAGATTCTTGTATAGAAATGTTGGTTTCATCCATTACTTTAAACTTTCAGCCCCACCTGCTTCTTATTCTTTGTTAAACAGAAAGAAATCACATTGGGAAAGATTAGTAAGTAAGGTGAATGTCCAAGAATCTTCCATTTCCATACCACCAGAAAATTTGAATGTCACAATGCTGGTAAGGGACTGTGTTGACTTATAAGTGAATAAAGCACAAATTTCAAGTCTCAGAAGATATTCTGACTTGTTACAATCATTACATACATATTGCAATCCATCTCCAGAACAGCACAAAATATGTGATGGGTCTCTGCTGCATTTGGAGTGCCCACATGAATAAAAAAAACATCAGTGATGACTATTCATCCTTCCCAAATAGCCTTAAACCATCATCTAAGTCTCATACAATGGTACATGGCTGCTAAGGTC